GGAATCTGAAATGAAACCCTAGTCTAAAGGTTACAGGTATTTAATACTAGTCCCAAATTTAGGTTTAGCAACTCAACCCCCAACCCCTGCCCCACAAAAAAACCAAAAAAACCCCAAACCTGATGAAAGGATCCAAATAAAAGGCCCACATTTAAAGATCTATTTCCATTTTTTGTTCCCCTTTACACTGGAATCAATTTGAACTAAACATTAACAAATAAACACTACATCTTCCTGCACTGTCTGCAGCCCAAACATTTTAGTATTATACTAACGCTGAAGGACCAGGAAGTGAAAATGACTAGAAACTCACAATAAGCAATAGTCAAAATGAGAGGCCTAGATCTATTTGTCCCATGTCAGAGAAATGCAAAAGGCAGACAAGTCATAAATAATCAGAAGTTTATTGGGTTTTAAATAGACTCACTTTTTAATAATACAAAGGTATAGTTACTAATACAGGATATCATATAATTATTTTTAAATGGAGAGTCTCCTTTATAAAGTGGAAGAGCATCTGTGAAAGTTAGTAGTGCACTGCATATGTTTTTTCCACTTCCTTGTGAAGGAAAGTGAAGCAAGGGAGGATGGTTAATATAGTGACTACAGAAAGAAGGAATTAGGGATTTTCTCTGTTCAGCACCTGTTATGAACTTGTAGGTTTAAACAAAGTACTTTTAGGGGTTTTACCCTTTGGCTCAGTTAAGCACAATCAGCTGAAATAACAGCCCAAGAAGCTTTTGCCAGAAGCTGTTCTGTTGTTTTTAACCACAGCTGCCCAATAGCATGTCCTTCACTGGGACCTCCATTTCCTTTTCTCATGCCCACAAGAAAGGAATCAGAGATCTGGGAAATACGTGTCAGCTCCTCCAGACCACAGCCCCACTCTGCCTGAATTTTTCTGTTAGAGCTCCTTTCAGCATGAGTGGAGATGCTGAACATTGGAGCAGCCCATGAAGCTAAACCTTTACTCTAGTGACTAGAACCGTGGTTGTTAGTCTCAAATAGATTCTGCCTTAAAATTTAAATAGACCAGATGACATGTGGAACAAAGGAAGTATTATTACTCCTATTTTACTAAAAAAGGTTAAGGCCAAGTTTCTCTTCTACCTTTAAGATGCCAAAATAGCACTTACAAGCTGTATCTACATGTGCACTTTAATGCAGCATTAGCCTATTTAAATATGCAATAAAGCATCACAAAAAACCTGTGTGGTTTTGCTAATGCACATTAAAATAGGCTAATGCACCTTTTCCTAGTACCTCACAATGGAGGGCACTTTATATGTGCTTCAGCAGTTGGGGGGCAGCACTTTAAGTACAACAGCTCCAAGAGCCGCTCTGATTAAAGTGCTGCAGCGCCTCATGTATCAGGGTCCCCACGCTTTAAAATGGAGGCAGGGGCATGTGAACTAAAGCTTATTCAACAAGCTTTAGTTCAAGCACCTCCGCCATCATTTTGAATCATGGCAACGCTGATATACAAGATGTGGAGGCTGCTGAAGTGTGGTAATTGCCACGCTCCAGCATACTCAATTAACTGAATCCGCTCCGACGCGTTGGAATTACAGCACATTGAAGCAGCCTCAGCACTAGTGTACAGGCACCCAGAGGTACTAAATGTAATGTGCATTAGCAAAAATGCATTAATGAACATGTAGACATGCCCACAGATTCCTAACAGTCATGTGAGGTTGATTCTGTTCCCTGAAAGACTACTACTGTGTCTATTTTCATAACATGCCTTTATCAGCATGCCTTAAGATGTCAGGAGGGAGAAGGTAGACCATCTGTCTAGTAGCTGAGCTGTTAGGACACCTGCTCAGGAAGTGGAAGACCTTGGTTCTAAGCCTCCATCCTCCTGAGGAGGTTTGAACCCACACCTTCAACTTCTAGGAATGTATGTAGCCACTCTGCAGGGCTGACTACATTCTCTATCCATCCTGTTACAGGGGGCCAGGGTGAAAGAATCATGGACCTAGAAGGAGGGAGAATTTCTTTTCTTGATAGTTTGAAACAGTTTAGGCATTGAGGAAATATCTGGATCCAAGGACAGAAGTGATCTCATTTTGTGGATGTTTCCCTAATTCTTTTTGCAGATGCCTTAAGCCAAACTTGAAATTTCTTGGCTAAACAGTTTGAGTCAGCATCTTGCCCCTGCTGAGATCTCATGCCTTTGTGCAGTTTATAGGGCCTGTTATTTCTTTTTATGTAGGACTTTCTATGAGGCTTTCCAAACACATTGTGGGAACCTTGTATCTCCCGCAGAAAAGATCTGGAAAACTGTTCTATGCAGTCAAAGAGTTAGGGGTTGCTAACCTGCTTAAAGTGACCATACTCCTTGCAGGAGATTTGTCCATGTCACACTTACTGTTCAGCAGAGGTGACACAGAAAGATAGGAACTAATTACAGAGATTCAGGCAGAAAATCCCCCTAGCCAAGATTTGAGCAATGCTGTGCATACTACAAAAATGCTCCCTACAGGCTCCCTTAACAGCACAACACAATTCAGGAGTTCATAAACTAGGGGTCTCATGCATTTGCCCAGACACCCTAAGAAGCAGGCCTCAGTTGCTGGCAAAGATGGGACTTACACAAATTTCTGTACTCTTTCTAAGGCTCATAGAGACCCTGCTCCTTCCCAGACAATACATGCTCAGTTTGAACTACATCAGCTTTAAAAATGATTTTAATTAAAGCAGCACAACTTCTTTGGTGAGACAAGGCCACAGGTTTTCTAAGGGCTTAGACAGGCATTACATTTGTCCCATCATGTCAGCTGTTTTAGTATGATAAAAAGCAGCTGGCCATACATTCAGGCTGTTTGTCACATTAAAAAAAATGGCCAATCTGCCCCCAAAATGGTGAATCCACAACAAAGAAGTTTATTTCATAGTGCCTGTCTGCCTTTCTGGGACAAATTTAACATGTGGTTAGGTCTGAGAGACTCCCACTATCCCACAGTCCTCTGCTCCCTGACTCCCTCCCCTTCAAGGGGGAAGGAGGGAGGGAGAGCAGTTGAATTCCCTGACAGGTAACTCAGTGCAGAGCTGTCATGGGCCCTGCAGGAATGGCTTCCAGGGAGCCCTGTCCTGGTTGCTGCTTGGTGGCAACAGGTTAGGGCTAGAGTGGCAGTGGGGGCTTGCGAGGTAGCAACAGTCTCTGGTCTCTGACTGATACAGTGGGCTCCAATATGAGGCTGCCTGTAAGCAGTTAACTTTAAAGGGCTTGCAGGCATCCTGAGACTGGAAATGCCCCTCACTTCCATCAACTGTTGCCACAGGCAAGCCTGTCAGTGAGCTTGTCTTGTTCACTGAAAGGTTCCCCTGGAGGCAAAGGGACCTAAAGAGCAGAACTTCTCCCCTCTGGTTGGAGAACATGACTATGTGGCAACTTTGTCATGCAAACTTTGTAGCACTGCAAAAATAACATGTGGCAAAGGCCTAAGATCCACCAAAACTTTGAAGCCTCTTCTTTGGTCTTCTAAAACTAATCTCAACCCTCCAGGTTCTCTTCTCTTCTCTTCTCAATGGGCATGACAGTCTTCCCCTGTCCCACACAAGTGGGATTACAACGTGTTCAGCACTTCATAGCAAATGCTCAGCTCTCTGCTGGAACCCCTGAGTTTGGTTTCATAATGACAATTGCTGGACCTAGTTCCTAGTCTCAAAGTGCCCTTTCTCATTCTTCTACAAGCAAAAATTTAAAGGACACACACACATATACAAAGATGTAACACAAGGATACAGGTACAGATTACATCAAGCATGAAACATTTCCATAAGTCACACAAATAATAATGGCAAAACACAATCCTTTTCAAAGGAAAACACAGCTAAGAGGAAATGAAATAATGAGGCATTTCTACTGAAGCATCGCTGGTGCTTGAACAAAAGGCTAACGCTGGCGCCAGCAAAATAATGATGCATCCAATGTTGAAGCATGGGTCATAGCCCTCTCTATTTGCAATCCACATACTTTCCTAAGAGCCAGTAAGATAATAACCAGGGGAGTATGCCTTTTGTTGTAACTTCTCACAAGGTAACCTGTCCTTTTTATGTAATCCATTATTCCTAGGGTGCAGTGCCTCAGAAAGACCAAAGGCATCAATCCTGACTACATGGACGGCTGATGATATTGTTTCTTAAAGTCTGGTGCAGTGGAAGGTTACTACTTTGCCTGTGTTTCCACTATAAGCAGCATGAATAGCAGTGCATGGGAAATAAAAGTAAGCAACAAAACACAGAGCTACTCCTTGAAGGTGACCAGCAGTCACCTATTATTCAAAAGTACTCTGCAGCTTAGATGATGTCACTGTTGGACCTTTAATGTTATAAAAATCACTTGGCTAGAGAACCACTAACTGAAAATTAAGCCAAAGTTGACACTACTGCCATGAATGATATAACCTTTGAGTATGGGCTGACTAGAGTTTGAGGTAAGGTTTTTACAATTTTCAGGCACATCCATGACCTAATTTTATGGTCATTCCATTCAGGTTGGGCTAAATCACATCTCTAGATCCAAACATGCTCAGAACTTTGAAGACTTGACAAGCCAGAACAAAAGTGAATTACGTAGCTTTTAATTCAAAGTTTTCATTCCTTATACAAAATGTAGAGTATCTTTCATCTGAGAGTATACACTTGCTTCATACACAGTCATGAACATGAAGCATTCTTCTATCCAGCTGAGGAAACCAAGACATAGAGTGTTTAAATAATGTGCTCCTAACCAGCCAGTGATCAGCGTCAGAGCCGGGAATGGAGCCCAAAAGTCCTGACTCCTTCTGTGCTGCTCTAATATCTCCACTCTGGATATTTCCTACCTACAACACAACAGTCCATCAGGAGTCAAAGTATCTCTTTCTCCTCAGAGCTGAATACTCCCTCTCCAAGAATGCTCAGGGCAATGCTGGATGCTAAGCAGTCAGTAATGAAGTGATTGCTCATTGGGAAGGCAGCAAATAGTAAGGAACAAGATAAGAAGTTTTTCTTACCTGTCTGAAACATCTGGGAGAGCTAAGACCATCCACTGCCAGATTCCGAAGCCTTCGTTGTTTGTAAAGTGCCAGAACGTCCTACTCTGTTCTTTTCCTGTTTTGTTCTCAACAAGAACCAGGGAAATGTTTCCAAGAAAGGAGCCATGGATGAGCCATGACATTCGGAGCTACAAAGAAGAGAGCCAGAAATTAACTAGTGGGTGAATTATCCACATATAAAGAAAATGCCCAATTCTTTTCTTTCGATTCCTTCTTTCACCTTCACAAATTCTCAATGTTTCTTCCGAACCCTCCCATCCTCTTAGGGTAGTCTGGAGTGTTATTGCAGCTGTGATAGTCCAGAAAATACGCGACAAGCAACACTTTGTTTCCCAAAGCTTGTCTAATATCTCTACCGAGTATACAACTGGTTCAATAAAGGACATCACCTAAAACGCTCTTTAGTTCTCAGGATAGGAGTAGTCTCTCAGTATTTGGGGCAATTCTATTATACTCAAATATAAACACAGGTTTTTGGTGTGATGCAGCAGTTAACCTACAGATATTTCATATACAGTTAGCACGTCCAATTTTCATTTATATGAATATCTTGTCCAAACATATAAGTTATGTCATTTGAAATATACTGGCATAATTAAAACAGCAAAACCAACCCTGAAGTGGATGCAAATATACCATATGAGCTGAGGGAAATAAGCCATATCAGTAATCAAGCTCCTTATACTGTATAACTGAGTTTCTGCTCAGGCTTACTGGCAGAATGATGTCAGCAAAAAATTACATTGAAATAGCTATGTGAATAAAACTATTTAAGTGTAGACCAAGCATAAGCCTTCTCTACACTCCTACTCTGCAACTGGCAGTTTGAAGTTTCCTTAAAAAGGGTGAAAAACTATGTCTACTTTAAGGCCCCTTTGCTTCAGAAAAGTGGTGCAAAGTTTGTTGTTCCAATGAGAATCAGGTATTTCATGCTCATCTATTGCATACTAGAGTATACATGGGTATTGGCCATTTTTCAGTATGGGGACACTAATACATGAGACTGGAGTCTGCTGGAGCGCGGTAATTACAGTGCGTCAGAGCAGCCTCGCTGCACGTGTGTAGGCACCCAGGGTTTTTAAGCTAGATCTCCTATAAAACATTTTCTTGGTACAGCAGAGTTAGTGAAAGTCAGTGTCTTCTTGTGTAAAAAGTCAGCTGCATACCAGGTAGTAGTAAAAGGAGTGTTGCTTGCAAGTCAAGGGATTCCTTTTGTGATATTTTTAAATACCCTATTGTTATTCTGATAAGAAAGTACTTTTTCCTGTAATACTTATGTCACTTGGGAAACCAGAATACATACACATTTTATATACAATACATATATAAGTACTAAGTATGTGCTAATCAATATTATATATAAAATGACAAAAATACATATATAGGTATTGTACCTTATCATATACAATGTTATATTTATTAAAGGTGTACCAATATATTGGTCAATATTGTATCAATACCAATAAAAGGAAAATTGACATTACTGGCAATTGGCTTTTTTTGGCCGATGTGGCTGATAATGTCACTGATAAATGCTGTACGCATGAGCACAGCCGCAGCATGCATGCGGCCAGGAATGCAGCCCGGCAGCTTGGAGAGCAGCGTCTGCCTGTTAAGTATGTGGGTAGGGGAACAGGCGTGGGGGAGGGAAGGGGCATGGTGGGGACAGATCAATGCCCCTACAGTGAAGAAGGGAATGGGGTTAGGGCAGGGGCTGGGCCAGGCGCTGCCCAGCTGGGGTGGGGTGTGGGATGGAGCTGTGGGTGGCTTGTCTGAGGGGTGTGGGGGTGGCTCCCACCACTTTGCACACCCCCAGGAGAGGCACGGGGGACATGTGTCCCCTGTACATGTGTGTGGGGTGAGGGCGGGCTGCTTGCTGCGGGCTTTGGGGCTCTTTGCTGGCTCTTCCTGGTGGGCGGGCTGAGCTGGGACTGTGCTTGGGGTGGGCAGGGGTGGGATGGGGAGTACAGTGAATTT